GTGTGTGTGTGTGTGTGTGTGTGTGTGTGTGTGTGTGTGTGTGTGTGTGCGCGTGTGTGCGTGTGAGATGCGTTAAAACGCGTCCCTGCGACGTCTGATCCTAATGTGATTTATTTAACTGTTTTCTGAAGTCAAGGTCGAATGTGTGTGTGCAGCAAATGCAATGAACACAGCCATGAAAGAAACATAGAAATGAAGAACGCGGCTTTAGGTTTTGAAATGTGCGTCGGGTTAGAATACCTGTGTGACACACGCACAAAGAGCGCAGATTAAGAAGACGCTTATTTGATTATTTGTATTTTCTGCCACTAGATGATGCCTTTACGCGTCCTGCCTCGACAGGCAGTAGCCACTCTAGTTTGTGGGCTTTCGAGGAGCAGACAGTGAGCAACAGGTGTTCCCACTTAGCAACAAATTAATCCACGACTCCCTTCAGGTTTGAGCCGTTTGAACAGGTCGTTTCCCTCTATGGAAAACATCAACGAAGGTCCGCACACTGTAAGTGCACTTTATGGGCACATGGCTTGGTTTCTATTGGTGCGGCACTTGCCTTCAACGGTATTGGGCTGTGAGCGACCACACACTGTCTGTCATTTTCCACTATGAACCACTAGGTGGCCTCGTTGCCTCTGATTTGGAGTCCCCGCACGTCTCCCTCATTATAGCTGGATGTGACACGGCTTGAGGCTCATGAATATGCCCACTGAAGCCCCTCTGCATGTATGCATTTATGCATTGTAGTGATTCCTTTGTCAACTTGGTGGTGACATACACTATTCTGAGTTCAAAACGTGGCTGAAGGTGGAGGATTTATCCCGTGTGTGCGTGCGTGTGCGCGCGCGTGCGTGTCCACGCGCTACACCTCCGGGAACATTTCGACATCCTGGGGAGTTAGCATCTGTTGTAAACGGAACTAGAGAGACGGGCATCAACCCTTGTGCACCTTAAATGTGCTGTTACTAATATGAGCACGAGATGCTACGCAGCTATAGCAGAGAATGAAAACATAGTGCAGCCCTCCAGAATTAAAGGGCCAGGATGTGGCATTTAGGGTCTGGAATGTGATATTAATATGTATGTTTCATTTAGGGTATAATCACTTTGAAAATAAGAGTTGTAGTGTTTCCGTTACCTTAGAATGAGCCGTTTGGATCATACGCCCGCCACGTTGCTATAAGAGCGGACAAATCAAACACTGGCTTGAGATATTTCTCCTACACGCTTGGCACTCGGGAGAGGTTACAGTTGGTTACAATCCGCAACCATACCGTTGCACTGTTGTTTTGTTATAAGATGACGTTATCACTATATGATTTGTCTTTTCTCGCATCCAAACCCTGTTGCATATTGAAATAAGTCTGCTGTGATGTTTGACACCATGCCACTGCTACTCTTCCTCTTCATCTCCTCCTCCTCCTCCATTTGTTCTGGCAGGCTATAGATGCAGCAATGGCATATTGCTGCTGTATATTTTGAGAACCATCATTTCTGCTTTGACAATATTTGCTCATATACCCTCAAGCTCTCCGCACTCAGGCTTAACACAGGTGTTTATCAACCATAGACTGTTATAACCTAATCTCATTCTTGCCATTTTTGCTAAAACCCATTGGTTTAAAGACCCTATTCAGAAATGAGTACATTAAACTGCATGACCTAACCCTAACCCTCAAGAAAAACAATCTTGTTGAACATCTTAATCTATGTTCATAATCTTTTGTGTGGGGATCAATCGGTCCATCAGGAGATGAGAGTGGTTTTATGTATTGACCCTCTCTTCTCCCAAAAGCTTAAATGTTTTCACTCCATCAAATGGAAGTTCCAAAATGATGTAGAATATCACATATTTAGTTTTATCACATCATATTTTAAGAACCATTTGGGCAACTAAACCACCTGACCCAGCGCTTTTAGGATTTCCTCTGAGGCTAGATCATGCAAGGTGATTTTGATAAATGTTAAAAGCAGTTGAGGAGTGTGGCTTTTGAAATGTTGAGGAAGAAATACCCGTGACATTCAGTTCTTCAGATTTTTTCCTGTGCCAATATTTTGACATCTAAACCATCATACACTGCTGAAACAGAATTGAATGAAATTGTGTTTACGCTGCCATGAAAACTGGAAAATAACACCTTAAAAAACCACAAGCAATTTGTTGTTGTAGAGCGAAATGTCTCCATCACTTTGGATACTCACCAGAGCACACTGCAGGTTTCATCAGAACAATTTCATTAACTGGATGCACGTCATCAGGATTCTTCCCCCGAAGCCTCCCTTTGGCAGTTTTCTAGCCACGTCCCACAGAGAAAGGATTCAGGGACGCAGCAGGAACACTGTTAATATGCATTCTTTGGTCATTTGCCATTTTTAGTAAATGGGCTCAAAGTTTGATTCATAATTGTTATTATCATTATCTCCACAAGGAGGATCATGCAATCGGTTGCGAGTGAGTGAGTTCACCTTTTTGTCTGTCCGCGGCTATTGCATTCTGCTGGAGCAAACAGCATCATATTTTGGGTGGCCAGCACATCCAGATCTTTTGCCTCTTGTTCCAAAGTGAATAACAGAGGACGCGAGTCGTTTGGTTCCTGGATTCATTGTGCTGCCTGGTTTGGTTTTAGCAACAGGCCTTCTTTACTGTGAATGTCTCCTTATATGAGCACTGATCATATTACTACACTTGATACTGCTTTAAAACTGTAGAAAAGATGTGCACTTAAATGCCTCTTTTATATCATGAGTTATTAAAAGTTTTTCAAAACATAATAAATTCTGTTTTTCAGTACTCATTGGGACTCACTCTTCTTTGGACTGACTGAGTCCCAGTCATAGCTGCAGTATTTTAAAAATAAAGAGCTTATTATGCACAGATAGAAAGGTACTAAAACCAATGCCAGAGGCATCAGCACAGCACAGGAGGACATGCATCCCTGATGGCAAATTAAACCTCCCCAACAAGTGTGGCCAAAACCGTAAATAGCATAGCATTCACACACACACACACACACACACACACACACACACACACACACACGCACAGTGTCACAAACACTTGGACCTCCATGGCAAAATGAATAAGGAACTTTCTGCTGAAACCAGTGATGCCTCCCACAAGTGTTTATGATGAACGGTTCTGAGTTATGAAAGGGGACGGGGCTAAAGTGTGAGGGGGCAGGGCAAGCCTTCCCTCATGAAAAAGGAGCTCTCCAGAACCATGTCATGATAGGGAAGCCATCAATGCCTACGCTATTGAGCTTTCGATTGCAGAGATGGAGAGGACGCCATTAGAGTTGGCTGCTGTGTCCATGAAGAGGCTCAAGTACTGGGAGATGGCATCTTTCACAAAAGATAAATGTGGATTGAGCAAAAAAAAAAAGAATGAAAAGCGGTACAAAAAAAGAGAAGTAGTTTAGAGATGAGAATGTATTCTTCTAGCTCTTTCTTCTGCTATTTGTTCTTTTATAGCCAGATGAGCCAGAGAAACCGGTGTTGTCTGGTTATTAGCACAATTGAGTTTATTATTCTTCCCAGCGCAGTTCTGGAAAAATCAATCTCTTGTTTGGTAAAGTGAGCAGCAGAGCTGTTTGCATTTTTCTCATTGCACACGGAGGATACAAGGAAAGGTAACACTAGAGGATGCATAGAACAACCAGATCAGTATTTTTCTGTGAACGTCAGGGATTTTTTTTAAATGTAGCTGTTGTGCATATTTAAGCAAAATGCGGATCTGAGCAGTTTCTGGGTAAAAAGTCAATTACTTACTTGTTACTGAATAGGGAGCCTGTAACAAAGACTGCAGTCACAAACATACTGAGGCAAGGTATCATTTTCTTTGAGGCCCAAGAGCTGCAGGCCCAGTCCAATCATACGCTTCACTAGATACTTGACAGCATGGAAACAGTCATTTTTTGTCTTGTCAAATGCCTCTTGGCAGACAATGGGAACACTCTCGTTGCAGGGATAGAGACTTGGATTTGTGGTTTTATAATGCATCCAAAAGTTAGGGTTTGAAGGTTTGGGGCGGTCCAGTGTGTGGTCCAGATGTAAAGTCACACAACATTTTCTGCCACAGTTAGAACAACTTTGCTGAGATTTTAAGTGTCAAACTCTTGATCTGTAATAACTAGGAACGTTTTTCTTCTTATACTATTCAGAAGAGGCATATTCCCACAGTTGTATTAGCCAAAGAATTTGAAATTTCAAAACACGCATGAAAGATTACAGATTTGATCATTTAGGCACTATAACGGTAGAGTGGTGTGTATGTTGCAGCTAATTTTAAATCACATTCAGACATTTTGGACACTTTTTTGTTCAGACGTTGGTTTGACAAAGTATGTTTTATTACATTATCTTTATTTTACATTCATGTTATCTTTGACAAAGCAAGCAATAATGAGGACATCTTAAAAACAATAGTTCATTTTTGCCAAGTGGAGTAAAGAAACATAATGCAGAAGTTATAGTGCGTATAGTTGAGATACAGTTGTTTTTGGGGTTTGTGGGGAAATTAACTTTGTTCAAGACCATTTATCTGTCCAAGCAACATACTCTCGCAAAATCTAACCCTCACTAACTCATTTTTATAATGCTAAATATGGCTGTTAGCTGTGTAAATATCTAATATCTAATGCAATATAACCCAATCTGCTTTCATCCATCCACAAGATGGTCACAACACTTCCAAACGAGGTTGGGGGAGACAGGAAGTACGTACAATGTTTAAACCATTGAAGGAGCTTGTAATGCGTCATCCTTCTTATGGAGTATTAGGAAGCAACAATCATCTTGAAATTCTTGTGTGCGTTTTTTGCACACAAAAACATTTTCCTGATCAACTATTAACTTTTTTGACAGAGGTTCTGTATATTTTTTCATGGCGGAGCATCTTTTTACAAATGTCAGAGGGGCGTGTTGGCACTCCTTTTAAATGCATTTTATTCAAGGAAGGGAGAACT